TTTTTGATAAAGATACCAAAAATTCACATTGAAGAAAAGACAGTATCTTCAAGAAACAATGCCTGGATTTCAACATGCAGAAAATGAAACCAGACCCTCATCTTGCTCCCCACACAAAACTCAGGTCCAAACACATAAAACACAAAACAAAAATCCAACAACCTCAAGATAGAGCTGAAACTGAAACGGCTAGAGGATAACTAAGGTGTTTTCTTCGACTTACAGGCACAGATAACGTGTTTTCTAAAAAGACTCCCTTAGCACAGGAAGTAAAGACCAAAAAATTGACAAGTAAGATTTCACGAAATTAAAAGGATTCTGTGGGCCCAGTGGATGAATCAGTGTCCGGAGCACTGGCTGCCCTCCCTAGAGGACGCGGGTTTCATTCCCAGCACCTACACGGAGTTATTGCACTCTAGACCTAAAAAATGAGATTCATTTTTTCTGGGGAAGAATCGCTCCTGAACACCTGAACTTGGCTGCTAATCAAGCAGCTGCCTGCCTGCCACCAGGAGCTTCTGAACTGTCTTGGGGCTGGGCCGCCTGTTGTTGGCTGCACGGAGCTTTCCCTGAGCAGCACTGTCTCGGCTGCCATGATCCTGCTCACCCGACCGGCTTTCTGGCAGGTTTCCGCCATCCGCCCTGCCTCACTCAGTACAGCAGCTTAACCAAGCTATCACTACAGGCTTTGGACCGTTTTTGTTGTTGTTGACCTTGTGTTTTTTCGGGACAGGGTTTCTCTGCGCAGCCCTGGCTGTCCTGGAACTCACTCTGTAGACCAGGCCGGCTGGGAGCTCAGAGATCCACCTGCCTCTGGAATAAAGGCGTGTGCCACCACGCCCAGTTTGTGAAGCACGTTTGAAAGCGTTGGCTCAGTACAGAAACAATTCTTTCCTTGAATGCTTTTAATCTATAGTTGTTTGACTCTCCAGGTACAAGGCTCAAGGACACTTAGACCTACTGGCTAAATTCTAAGTACTGTCTACGTCATGCTGCCTGAACTAAGATGATTTATTCATTGTGTGTCTGGAATTCAAGTTTAACTGGGTGCCCAGTATTCTTTAGAATATTTGTTCATTATATTTGGAATTTGGGATAGGAGACACTCCATTTTTAAATTGTTTTTCTGTATGTCTTTGGCACATCATACATAGATGTTTGATAACTACAATGCAAAGGCCATTTTAAGTGAAATTGATGCTATGCCACCAATCACTGCACAAGCATGTCACTTCTTTAGAAGGGATAGGTGTTTGTTTGTTTGGTTGGTTTTTGTTTTTTAGTTCCTGGAACAATCCTGTGCTTTATCCTACAAATCTACCAGTTTTGAAACATACAATGGCCAGCAAAAAGAACTTTTTGTTCTGAGCACTCACTCCTGCCTTGCTGTCTAAACAGCGCTGTCTCCTAGGGAGCTGAAACCAGGAAGCCTGGTTTTCAAGTTGCTAATGAAGAGGCTGGCGGCAGTGTTTGCCTTTGTTTTTGCTCTATTAACTGTCCATGGTAAAGGAACACTGCCACCTAGCGGCTGAATCAAGTATTCCCCCACCCCCTACACTGGAGGCAAAGGAGGAAATCCAGCTAAATCAAGTGTGAAGATCTGCAAGCGTGGGTTCTGGTTGCTTCCACTTAGCATTCAGTCTGTTAACTTTAGCAAGCTAAAGGGAGGAACAGTTATTTACCAGTAGTGCCGGAACATTCTTTTTTAAAAAACAGTAAGGGGGCGGGAGTGCAGAAGAGACAAGGCTCCACAGGTAAAGGCACTTGCCACAGAAGCCTGGTAGTGTAAGAATATGAGTTCCATCCCTGGAACTAGACACACACACACACACACACACACACACACACACACACACACACACA